TATATATATATATATATATATATATATATATATATATATATATATATATATATATACTAGGGGGCGTGCACCGCGCAATGCGCGGTGCTGTTTGCCCATTATATAGGTTCGAATTTAAAACTCTAATTAATTGTATGGGTCCTATTTGGACAATGAATATAATAAAAAAATAGTTCACACAATAGCATTTACGTATGTAAAACAAATTCATATTTAAGTTAAAATAAATTGGACCTAAAATATATTTTAATTAAAAAAATGGTTTTTGTAATATTATTTGGAATAAATGATTCAAGAAACATGGTTCTTGTAATATTATTTTTGAATAATTGATGGAACTAATATAAATAAAAACATAAACTTCGATAAAAGTACTATTAATTTCAGTTCAACAAATGAATAAAAATAAATCACATCATAATTGAAATCGAAATAAAAAGTTGAAAATTTCAGAAGCCGGAAAAAAAAAATTTGTTTCGAAATCGTAATTTTTATATTGAAACCTGGGAAGGTGAAGTTTTCGTTGTAACTTGCAACGTCCATAGAGGTATGTGTTGTGTACAATTATATGGGATAAGAAAAAAAATAATTTAAAATATTCGTGGGCCCCATTTGAAAAGAATATTTAAATTGCATTAAATTTGTGGAGAGATAGGGATGGTGTATGGCGGTAAAATAGAAAGAAAAAGAAAAAAGAAAATCGGGGCCCACGTTTGAAAAGAGGGAAAAATGGAACAAAGTGTATGCACATGTCATGTGACATCAATCACCGACAGTGGGTCCCGTGCAGAGTACCGTCCATGGATTAAAAAAACTAAGAAAAGAAAAGACTGCAAGTTACTTTTTGGCGGAAAATACATAAAACGGCGTCGTTTTAGTATTAAGTGGGCCGAAAAAAAAGGGAAAAAAAAGGGCCCAGAAGCTGGAGAAGCCATACATTCTTATATAAATTAATATATATATATAAATTAAAAAATTGAAATAATAAAAAAATAAATAAAAAATTAAAAACTTAAAAAAAATAAAAATAAAATAAAAAAACAAAACAAAACAAAAGAGGGCATATGTAAAAAATAATAATTAAAATAAACATTTATTATTATATTTAATTACTTTATGACCTAAGGAATGACTAAGCAAGATATATATCAAAGCTCAATATTATTCCATGATGAAATACGTGTCATGTTTTTAGCAATTGCTTAGTGAAATAAAAGCATGACAATGCTTGTAATAAATTTGTGTATAAAATACCCATTTTAGCAATGAAAACATAGCAGCTTTCATTAGCAATTCCACATTTCCTCTCTCTCGAATGCATCTTCAATTATTTTGTATTCTGAATACTCACAGTATAAAAGTATATCTCATATATATATATATATATATATATATATATATATATATATATATATATATATCCTATTGTATTATATTTTTTATTCTATAACACGTTATCAGCACGAGGTTTTGCTCGATAGGGATTTGCTATTTTCGTATTCTTCTTTCTATTTTATTATATGAAAATCCAGATCATCGATCTATTGTCGAAAAGACAAACGAGAATGATTAGCGAATACTTCAGTATTTTATACGCTATTATTTCTCAAAGGATATGATGGATTCGTGTATATACATTTATAGCTCATTGTATACTATCTGAATTGTTGCTGATATATAACTCTGAGTCTAAACTCGTTGAAACAAGAAAGACGATTTAGAGGCTAAATCGTTAATATAACTCCGAGTCTAAACTCGTTGAGACAAGAAAGCCGATTTAGAGGCTAAATCGTTAATATAACTCCGAGTCTAAACTCGTTGAGACAAGAAAGCCGATTTAGAGGCTAAATCATAAATATAACTCCGAGCCTGAAGCTCGTTGAGTCAAGATGTGATAATATCCGTCAAAAGCCGATTTAAAGGCCAAATATTTGAAAATATCTCCGAGGCTGAAGCTCGTTGAGTCACTAGACGAGTTAAAACCTGTCAAGTGCCAACTTAGAGGCTATTAATCACAAGTTCAAATTTAAAGGGTTTTGGGTTATATTTGTACCCACTGTATATATCAGCACGAGGTTTTGCTCGATAGGGATTTGCTATTTTCGTATTCTTCTTTCTATTTTATTATACGAAAATCCAGATCATCGATCTATTGTCGAAAAGACAAACGAGAATGATTAGCGAATACTTCAGTATTTTATACGCTATTATTTCTCAAAGGATATGATGGATTCGTGTATATACATTTATAGCTCATTGTATACTATTTGAATTGTTGCTGATATATAACTTTGAGTCTAAACTCGTTGAAACAAGAAAGACGATTTAGAGGCTAAATCGTTAATATAACTTCGAGTCTAAACTCGTTGAGACAAGAAAGCCGATTTAGAGGCTAAATCGTTAATATAACTCCGAGTCTAAACTCGTTGAGACAAGAAAGCCGATTTAGAGGCTAAATCATAAATATAACTCCGAGCCTGAAGCTCGTTGAGTCAAGACGTGATAATATCCGTCAAAAGCCGATTTAAAGGCCAAATATTTGAAAATATCTCCGAGGCTGAAGCTCGTTGAGTCACTAGACGAGTTAAAACCCGTCAAAACCCGTATAAAGAGCTCTAATAATTATATTTTGGACAATATACAATTTAATATATATAATTTAATTAAAATATACAAATTTCTATTTATTTTGCTCTATATTTTTTTTAAAAACTCTTAAAAAAATTGGGGCTCTATCTCCGAACCTCGTAAAATTTTAGCCCACCCTCACCGCAAATCTTGGCTCCGCCACTGGCCGGACCGGCCATGTATGAGGGGGAAAAGAAACGGAGATGAAGGAAGAAGAGAAGTTGAGAAGTGAGGGATAAATAAGCGGTGGAAAGAAATAAGAACTGTCCTGAGAAGTGGAGAGAGAAGTTAAGAAATCATTTTTTCTTCTAGGTTTTGCAAGTTGTGGAGCAGTCAACGTGGATGTCGGTTTTTCATTGTTCTTTCTTGTGCAGTTATTTGTGACCGTTTATCACAATTCTTAATTGTAACCTCAATTTAATCAATTTTGTCCACAAAAATCTTATTTTGACCACAAAAATTCAATTTTGATTTTTTTTTTCAATTTTTTTTTTGCCGCCGGATTCCGGCGCTGACTTTTCGGTTTTTTTTTTCTTCCGGATTTTTTCGCCGGTCTCCGGCGATGACTTTTTTTTTTTTTTGGTTTTTTTTCCGCCGCCGGTCTGCGGCGTTGACTTTTTTTAGTTTTTTTTAATTAATTTTTTTTTACGTCCGCCTCTAAACGTTGACCATTAATTGTGCTGTCACTGACAGTAAATTAACTTAATTATACTGTCAATGACAGTACATTAACGTAATTGTACTGCCGTTGACAATACATTTATGTAATTGTTCTGCCGTGGACAGTAAATTACCGTAATATTATTATTGTTATTTTTTTTGTTATTTTTTTTTCATTTTGTTTGATTGTTGACAAGTCAACGTAATTATAACTATCGTTGACAGTAAAATAACTGTAAACACAATATTATTACTGTCAACCACATCAATATTATTATTTTTTTTGGTTTCTGTTTTTGTTTGAGTTATTCACGGAGTAATATAATAATATTACTGTCTATTATTGTAATATTACTCTAAACACTATAATATTACTGTGGTTGAACGGTAATATTACTGTTGTTATAGTAATATTGTTGTCAACCACATCGATATTATTATTTTGTTTGGTTTTTTTTTTTTGTTTGAGTTATTCACGGAGTAACATGATAATATTACTGTCTGTTATTGTAATATTACTGTGGTTGACGGCAATATTACTGTTGTTATAGTAATATTAGTGTCACTCACAGTAATATTAATTCTTTTGACTTTTTATTATATTTACGTTTGTTGAACGGTCAACATAGTAATATTACTCTATTACACAATAATAATGAGTTTTGTTGTGTTAATGTTATTCTGCTAGAGATTAACATAGTAATATTATTGTGTTAAACTGTAGTATAGTTAATTTTACTGTGTTTAACAGTAATATAGTTAATATTACTGTCAATCACAGCAATATTGCTGTTTAAACGAGAAAAAAAATGTTACAGAAAGAAAAAGAAAAAAAAAAACGTTCGAAAAGGTCAACACCGGAGACCGGCGTTGACAACCGGTTAACGCCGGAAACCGGCGAAAAAATCAGGAAGAAAAAAAAAGAAGAAAAAGAAGTCAACGCCGGAGACTGGCCGGTCAATGCTGGAAACCGGGGAAAAATCTGGAAGAAAAAAAAAGAAGTCAATGCCGGAGACCGGCGGTCAACGGCGGTGACGGACGAATTGTCCATAAAAATGTGTTTTGGTTCAAAATTGAATAATTTGTGAAATTTAGAGTCAATTTGAGGTTAAATTAAATTAAATGATGGAATTTGAGCATATTAAAGTATGAGGGGCTATTTTAGTTTTTTACAAAAATCTGGACCATGTGTGGACTTATTTGTAAAGAAGTGTCCATTGATGGGTTTAGAAAGCAATGCCGTTAGTTTTGCAAGACAAATGAAGGCGGCGGCACATCCACAACTGACCAACCAGCTGGTAATTCCCGTAGTTGTGGGGATCAACGTTTGCACGGTTCAACAAGAGGGTGAGACGATTGAGGCTGCAAGGGGAAGGGCAATTAGGTCAAAACACCTAGTCCCGGTTTATCTGTGGGAACTTGAATGTTTTAGATTGAATCAGTGCAGAACCTGTTAGGCTTATGAGTTTTCTTAGGCAACTGCCCAGAATCAGAGTGATTTTGTGTGCTCGATATGTTCAAAGCGTCCGTGGTTTGGAGTTCAAAAAACGAGCCTTCCTTGCTGCGGAGAAACTTTTCATTCCCACTGTCTTGAACACAACCACCTCTGTCCCTCGTGCGCGTCTCCTGCCTATGATCCATATTACATGCACTTTAATTATTAACTCTTGTTGCCTTTCCTCTTACTATTTAACCAACTTCTATTCTTTGTTTGTTTTTTTTTTTCTTTTCCCTCTTAATCTTATTTCTCTTGCTGGCTAGTAAACAATCATATCATCTATTTATCAAGTCATAAATAAAGACAATAATCTTCGACACATCAAAAAAAAAAAATTAACTTGCATAATTGAATCACATGCTTTCGTTGCTTTTTATTGTTTTAATTGCTTTAATTGTTTTAGTTTAATTTAGTTTATTTCCTCACTTGCGTGTAGGTATTCCAAGCAACATGGAGCTAATGAGCAACCTGGGAGATATGCGAGATAAAAAAGTCAATTTACAGTTAAATTTCTGTCTCCGGCAGTTAAATAACTGCTGGAGACAGTAATTTAGCAGCCAAGACAGTAATATTAATTAAAATATTTTTTTAAGGAAAAAAAAAGTTAATTAACAGTTAAATAACTGATGGAGACATTAATTTAGCAGTCAACGGCGGTTGACCTACCAAAAAAAAATTCAGAAAAAAAAAAATCAAAAAAAAAGTCAACGCCGGAGTGGTGGCGGGTCAAAATTGGGGTCAAAATTGAAATTAGGATCAAAATTGGTTAATTGGTGAAATTGGACTAAATTGAGGTGTAAATCATAAAATTGGAGTTGAATTGGGTTTCTAGGAATTTGGGGTAATTTTGGTATATATAAAAGGGGTTTTCTTACTTGCAAATAAATTTGAATGGGTTGAAAGTATTTTGAAAGACAAAATTTTTAATTAAGTGCCTTTGTCATGGGCCCTTTTGTGATTAAACCTTGGAAATTACCACGAGATTTTTTTTACTAATTGAGTATTTAGTTTATTTGACAAACAAATTACACTTAACTAGGAGATTTGAGGGTAATAACAATTGGGATTGACAGCTCTAAACTTTCTCGGTTTGTAAAATGTCAAAACTTGCTCCACTATTCCAAGTATAATTTCCTTGTCAAATAAAGTAATAAACTACACAGAAAATAAATGGAGAGAAACAAGGCAAGTTAAATGGTTGATGTGAAAGCCATAATAAGGAAGGGAAAAAAAACAAAAAAATGAAACACTTCACTTAACTAACGTAAAAAGTATTCATTCAATCCAAGAGAGGAGGAGAACTAGTGACAAAAAAGTAAAATCATCATCGAATTTCGAACATTCCATTGGTCACGACAAGAAATTGAGACTTCAAAAATAAAAATAAAAACATAATATCTCTATATGAATATTAGTACAACTTGGGATGAGTGCTGATTCATCGAAGCAGAAACCAATCATAGCCAAAATGTAAGTCTGGATTCTGTTAAGACAATTTGTTCGGCTAACCAGATTGGAGTTATCACGCAAACGAAAACTCACTTCCATGTTCAGCTACCAGCAGCACTAGGCACAGCTACTGGCTTCGAGTCTTCTGCCTTTTCGTGTTCTTTGTTAAGCATCTGCATTTATTTATCAAATTTTCATGACCCAAATTTTAATTTCCAGATAGTCTATTCTACAAAGTCTAATGCGGTGCTTAATCAGCTAATCAATAACGTAGCTAATCATCTTGCTATTTTCAGAATCACAAAACTAATCATTTTCTTGTCACAAAACTAATTCATATTTCAGCATATAATTCCGAAAAATTACTGTCTACGACTACAAAACTCTATATAGCCACACTTGGTATTCGCCCATCACCTACTTCTTAGTCTAGAGAAATGGGATGAATCCCACATATTGTGCACAACAGGGCGCTCAAATAATTATGAAGTATTTTACGTTAAAAACTACGATGAAGAAACAAAATAGGAGAAGAACATTTCACCTTGCTATTAATCAAATTATGGAGATCAATATGAAGAAACGGAAGAAAAAATATCTCACCTTGTTATTGATCAGATTATGGAGAGCAATCACACTTCTGATGAGGGAAGATAGATATATGACCAACATCATATCATTTGTTTTCACTGTAAAGAGAATGTCAGATCATTATTTATATCAGAGGGAGTTGGTAAAACGAGAAAATAATGGATGCACAAAATTGATCGATTTAAACTAATAAGAGACGATTGACATCCAACTGTTTTACCTGCAAAAGCTTTAACCAGTTCAGACACATTTAGATTTGGGAGTAGGTTGAACACATCCTGCAAAAGTTGAGTAGCATTTCAAGATAATATACAAGTAATTTCTCACTGCAGAACGAAGCAGGATCTTAACGAAAAGGCATATACATATTCACTGATATTTAAAAACTATTATTTTATTTGATCAGGGGTGTTCAGGACCTATGATGATTTATCCAAAATAAGAATAGCAAGCAGGAAAAGAAAAAAAAAAACGAAACGTAATGATGTTTATACTTTCAAGAGAAATGCAAATTGATACCTGGAGATGGTATAGGATTTCATGGTTTAAGGGTAGCTTCCCTTCAATAACCACGTCAAGATAGCTTCGAATCTCTTTCAGTCGTGCATCCAAACCCTTTAAGGCAGCAAGCTTTCCAGTCACCTAGACGAGATAAAGATAAATAAGTTCTCTATTTCTTTCAGTTATTAAACATAGCATCAGGATATATAGGTGGTGTTTAATCATCAGTACAGTAAAATGAGGTAAGGGACTAAATATAAACCTCTGTTGCAAGGGTGCTGACAGTTGTGTCTTTCACATCTCTTAATAAGTGTTCCACACCTATCATAAGAACAATAAGTAGGAATTTTTAACAATTCGTACAGTTGAAAAAAAAAAAACTTATTATATGAGGGTTCAGATCAAGCAAAATCAAGGTAAAAGCAAAATAAAATGCAAATTTATTGATGAAATTAGCATACCAATTTCTTCAACTTCATGAGCAGCAATTTCAGAAAGGACATGCACGAAAACTTTCTGGCTTTTCTGAGTGGCATTCTGCAAGTTCATCCAACACATTAAACCAAATCCTATGAAGCATATTTTACTGTTACCTTTCACTAAGCACAAAGTATCAAATAGATATAGATATATCAACATGGTTGTTAACGTCATACGATTTACGCTTCAAATCTACAATTAATTTCAATTTATCCACTCCTCCATTCAAGTCGTTGAATTAATCATATATTTTCAAAAACCGTATGATAATATTGTTTACAATTTGAATTGTACGATTCATAAGGTTTATACGATTTCATAAATCTGTTATACTTACAAGGAAAAACCAAAATTAGGAAAAATTGTTACATTTTAAATTGTCAAAATAGAGTAAATACGCATACTGCAATATATGCTTCCACCATAGTAAATATTTTGTAGACTCCAGATATCAGAACTCAACAAGAATGACAGAAAAAGAGTCATTTCCAAGTTCATGAATTATAAGAAGAATTTGTCAAACAAATATTAACCGTGAAGAATATGCTTATTGATGATGGATGTTATCTTTTAGTACTACTTTTGTCTTTATTATATTGGAAAATATGATAAAATAAGTCTTTTGTATATTGAGGTTTGAGTTTTAGCGTTTTAATTCACTACTTTAATGCATAGTTTTGGCCTTAAGGACTTCTATAGGACATAGATTTTTGTTATAATGATTTTGTACTTCTTAATATAAGTATATCAGTTTTCAAAGAAATAAGAACTCTTATGATTTACGATTCCTTACGAGTTAAGATTCATGTTTTTTGACAAATTGATTTTTGATCTGAACTCACAACTTAAGAACCGTATGTTTATATAATTGATTTTTTTTCAGTTACCAAACAGTAACAATCATGTTACCTCTTTAACTTCCTCAACAGCGTAATAGGCTTTAGTAGGAATTCCAAGCTCTTTCGGCTGAACATCTATAATGACCAATACAGGATTGGGAACATAGCTGCAAAAAAATTAGAGATTAGTCAATGGGCGTAAAGTGATGTTAAAAGATAAAATCCGTAATACATGAGTTGCAAAAGGCAAAGAAAGGAGACCAAAATAAGCACGGAGGAAACGAGATTCAGAGTGAAGGAAATACGCATAAGTTTGACCAATATGAAAGCATATGTAATGGTGCAGGAAGACTATCTCATTTGGACTATGTTTTACCAAGGTTATAAAGAAGAAAGTCACAAACAGAAAAAAGAAAAAAGCAAGAAAACAGAACATAGGGTCAGAAAGACAAGAAAACTAGGAAGGAATTTTAAAATCCAACTAAAGATTTATCAGACAATTGCTTTAAAATTTTCAGAGTTCAAACTTAAAACAATCTCTTGATGATAACAATACTTTGACAAGATAAGCATGTAATGATTTAAAAGTTTGGGAAGAAACACGAAATACAGGATACTTTTGAAACAGTATAGATACATTTCCATTATATTTTCAGCATTAGTGAAAAGGTTGGTCTGCTTAAAATGATATCAATTCATCAAAGTTTCTCGAGATAGTACTCATCAAAATAAACTTTAAGGTGTGTTGCCTGACAAGTGGCAGCCAACTAAAATAATACTTGCAAGCAAGCAACATTTATACGACAATCGGTTGGTAATTATCTAATAAATCTCACGATAAGATTACATTCTTGCAAGTTACATGCAAAATTAACACAACGCAGAAAACTCAGCACTTCTCATCAAAAAACTATATTTTCTTTATGAGGACAGAAACCTTACTCAGTGAGAAGGCTATGAATACTTAGGTCATTCTCCTTCAGTTTCGGCCCAGTGCTATACCAACCAACAACATGCTCCTTGGCTGACAAGATTTACAAGTACATCAGCTAGTTGATGACCACCATAAAACAACTTAATGAGATACTACATTTATTGAAACTACATACCATTTATTCTTCTGAACATAGAAAACATCGACTCATGGTAATTATGGTCAAGAAACCAGATGCTTGAATCTCTGTCATCTTCTTCGAAAGGAACTGTTTATATCAGAAAAATAAATCAGCAAAAGAATAGCATATGCAACTAACAATTACTGATAGAGGTTACTCCAGGGTAGACGTTACTTCAGGAGAGGCAAAATAAGAGATAGTTTTCCATTAATTAATCAAAAAAAATGGGATCTACTGATTAAGATTGAGAGGATTGTTACGGTATGACTTGTGAACATGCGTTCTAAAGATAAAACATGTATTCCATAACACTTCTCAAGGAAAACGAACAAACATTAGCAGGAGGATGCGACGAAATCAAGACTTGAAGAACACATGATATGCCAAGTTTTTTATACACCAAACACTCGCTACATAAAAATGAGAGGTGGATACTGAGAATTCTTAGCTTTCAGGCTTCTAAAAAGTTTATCATAATAACAAGAGAAAAGGTTGCCAAAATAGTAACTTAATTTTGTCACCATAACCATAAAGGTTTCTAGAGCTCGATTTTTTAACAAGGAAAACATGATTTACCCAGAAAAGCATCTTAACAACGCAATTAAGAACCACATTTGAACTATGATTGATCACATGCAACTGAGCTGAAATGAACTTGCTGAAGTCGAACTAGATTCCAGCATTAACAGCAAACATAAGACCTAACAAGTTGCTTGACAACTCACCAATAGTAAACAAAGATTGAGAGTAAACAAGAACACTACTAGTATTAGGTGTATCCACAATTCCGTCCGACATTCCTATTCCTCTTCTTCTATAGTACAACTACATAGACTAAAAGACGCAAAACGGAAAATAATTTTTAAGGGAACCAAACCCCAGACACCATAACCAACACCCCCTCGACCACACACACACACACAACCAAAACAAGACTTGGCAAAATTTTAACCCTTCACCAATCTAAATATGTAGCACTACAACACCCGTTTCAGTAAAGATTCAAATAACACCCTCAGTTCTGATCGGTCAAGTCCAGTTTCAAGCTTCTTATTTCAACTTTGAGGGTTCCAACTAAACGCAGCCTTCTGTCTCAAGTCCCAATCAAACTATGTCGAATACCGCCACTCCAGAATCCAACTTTTAAACCCTAAACACTGAAACAATACTAAATCTGCATTTTGAAATTCATTTCCACCCTCGGAAACCACCTAAGAAAATTCTTCCTAAACAAAAACAAGGAACAGAAACAATTTATACTTTACAAGGTAAAATTCAAATCCTATGGAATTCAAATAATACAAAAATTAAACCTCAAAAAGTGGTGCAGCGAGATTAAATATCAGATCTTAAGATAAAATACCGACCGGCGTAGCTGTTGGTGACGTCAACGGTGCCTTTAAAGGAAGTCCCGAGCAAAACTCCAACCACGCGCTTCCTAGTGTCACGCGCCACCCGATTGTAGTGGTCGACGATGCTCAAAAGCACCAGCGGGTGCACCACTACCTTCTCGATCGGTCGGGAGGATATCTGCTGCGATTTTATGACGTCCATTTCCTTCAAAATCTCGTTCTTCTCTTCCTTCTCCCTCCTGGGGTTTTTGTTTTTGGGCGAAGAGGAATGGAGGAGGTGCTGTTCGTTTGTATTGGAAATTAAATTTCTTTTTCTCATTCATGAGTTTGAAAAGACAGTTTTGCCCTTCTCTTTTTTTTTTTCTTGTAAAGCAACAGATATGCATTCTGCTTTGATATTCTAATTAGAGTTGGGCCCAGTTAATGAAGAAACAAAACGACATAGCCCAATAAGTTTATTCTCTAGGTTCCATTTTTCCTTTTTTATTTTTTCTGTTTTAAAGCGTTGGATTAAATTATTGACCACGAGAAATGAAAAATGTTTAATTGCTCAAAACCTCAAATCAATTAATCGTGGGTTGGCTAAATTTGAATTTGAGTTACTCTATTAAGTAGGGGTGGAAGTCGGTTGGATCGGATTCCAATTAGCCTTTTCGAAAAATTTCCAAAAAAAATTGGAGTACAAAATTGTTCTAATTTCAAAACTTTTGAGATTAAAAAAATCATTCTAATTCCAAAAGGCCTGAAAATTTCGGGATTTGGAAAAAAATTCGGAAAATCACATAAGTTATAAAATTTCAAACATAGCTGAAATTTTCTAAAAATTTCATAATTTTCCAAAAAAATAAGAACATCCACGCCGATAAACTTAAAACTAATAACTAATAATTTTTTGTTCAAGAAAAATAAACCACATCATAATATTCAATAAAACTTCCGACGACAATTCAATATGTCAAAATCCTAAAACAAAATCTAAATCAAATTAAGGCTTCAAAAAAGAAAAAAAAAAAGAAAAAAAAAAGAAAAAAGAAAAAAGGTGCATTTTTTGGGGAAAAAAATGGAATATTTCGGAATTAATTTTGATACTTAAATCGGATTGAAAATCGGAAATTCCAATCTTTATTATATGATTCCAATTCCAATCCAAAATAATCGGAAGAAATCGGAAATCGGAATTTCGGAAGTCGGAATGAAAAAAGTTGTTCTAAAAACGGAACTTTTCGGATATGAACCAGTGGAAATTGGACTTTTGGTTCCAAATTACACCCCCTAATTAAGCCTGACAAGTTTCGGGAATGGGTTTCAATTCACTATAGCTCAATTGGAATTAAAGATTATAAGTAATTAAAATATTTAATAAATTTATTGTTTTACATGTCTATTCATGTTTACTAATAGGAGAAAATAGTTGGACATCGCTCAAAAAATTCTCTATTGCTATAAGGACAGATGGATGTTGCCTTTTTGCTAAAATTTCTTGTGGGTTTTCGCGCACTGGATTAGAGCTAGGTCTGGATTATCTCTAACAGAATTGATTAGGAAAACTAACGATAACGACAATGCGATGAGTAACAACTTAATAAGTAACAGCTTAGTTATATTAATAAGCAACTTAAAATAAACTGAAGAAAGTACTAAAATAAGAGTTTATGCATCTCACAACCATACATAACTTACACAGCTTAGTTATATTACTATGTGACGGCTACTGTTGCAAGGGATTGGCAAGGGAGATGTGTTTGGTCGACCATTAAACAGATTTATGGTTGTCCAAAAGTGGTCGAAGAAGAAGCACACGCGGCTTAACATGCGTTATCAAAGGAAAAAGAAATGGGGTGTGTCTCTATAGTGCTTGAAGGAGATAATTTGCTTTTCATTAATACTCCCCGGAACATGAAACCTGCAGAGGCCTCTCATGGTGCTATTATAGAAAAGTGTTTCTCAATAGCTTGTGATTTTGATTTATGTTTGTTTAGTTTTATCAAGCTATCGGGTAACATGTTAGCCCATTGTCACATACTTATTTCCTTAACAACGAGCCGTGCAGCCTTAGCTCATTTTCGCCCCTCGCAATAGCTAAGTCACCCTCCTCAAATGTGTTGCGAATGCTAAGTGATGGAAAACGTGTTAGAAGGTGACGAACAAGCCAACTTGTGGTTGTGGTCTTTCCATATTTACTTGTAAACAATCTATTTTCGTTATTAATGAAATTCTATTTTTGGTAAGATATATCTATTGTCCCATTTTATTATGCATAGATATAGACCTTATTGTTATTATTAAATTACTATGAGTTGGTTTAGGAGAATCATGAGATAATTCATTTAGTAAGATAACTATTTAACAAGTTCCTAGTCGATGGCTTACGCCAATAATTAGGATACTGGCATTTCTCGTTTGAGACTAGCACTTAGTGTATGTGAGTTGAGTCTCATCATCTATAATGTAGTGACATTGGCATACATAAGTGGGTGTTCATAGTCGATGAGTTCACTGAACTCCCTCGTCCTAGAATCTCTAAGTGGTTCCCATTAATCGAGTAGATATTCTATGATTATAGTTGTACACCATTAGTTCTTAGACCTAATACATCACTGCGACTTCATTAGAGGACCAGTTGTGTTGTGACCTGTCCCTGAGTCTCCTCGAAGACCGCTCCAAGGGCCAACATTCTCACAGTCCGAAATCTAGTAGGAGTCTGTGCATTGTAGTTAGGGATTTGACCGCTTGCTTAATTGCATGCATGTACTTTGTATTATTCAAGTATATCATCCAAGAAATCTTCGGCCGAAGTAGAAAGGGTAGTGATTAGAGAAATGAGTTTCTCTAAGTCAAATACGAATGGATTTTATAGCTTTAGAACGATCGCATAGTTATCGAATACTATTAGAGGTCTCGGTGAACCAATGCCTCTACTTCGACCGGGGCATATCTTTAGTCAAAGGGACTGTACTATACGCAAACTATAATTTAAGGTTCTTGTAGGCACTTCATTTGTATCTAGAGAATCATGACACGTAGTTGCTAGGCGTCAATCATGATTCATTGGGCATTAACCGATAGGATCGGCGATATAAATTAAAATATGTTTTAATCTAAATCGGGACATTTGGGAGTCCGTGATTGAATAAAGAGTTATTCAAGTCACAAATAGTTGTGGGCCCACAACTAGTTTACACCTGAACCACTGAGGGTCACACATCTTATGGAGAAGATTCCTTAATAAGGTGAACGAAGATTAATTTGTTAATCTTATCTAAATTGGAATTCAATATGATTGAATTAAAATTCGTGATAGTCGATTATGAATTGGAAGAAAAAAAATGTAATTTTATAGATTTCAAGTGAACTTTCTAAATTGGGAATTTTCCTAATTTAGAAGGTACCACTTAGACACGGCCACGAGCCGAGTTTGCCCGGCCCGGACCCGACCCGAAGACCGCCCGGACCCGCCCTGTTGACCATTGACCGTTGACCCGGACCCGACAAAGTATGGGTCGGTTTTCGGTCCCGGTATTTTGGACCCGAGACCAGACGGGTGGACTTGAGGACCCGACCCGAGTACCCGTCGGGTCGACCCGAATAAAAAAATATTTTTTCTTTCAAATTTTGAAAATGCAACGGCTATAAACTGGACCCGAAAATTCAAGTTTTTTTAATTACAACGGCTAGAAACTCGGGTCCACCTGGAACCGACCCGGACTCGACCCGAACCCGGTCAGACAATTCAATTATTTTTTTTAATTACAATGGTTAGAAACTCGGGTCCACCCGGACCCGAACTAGATCCGGTCTGACAGATTTCAAATTTTATTTTTAGTTTTGTTTTTCAACGATCACTATCATCCTACTGTTTGAGATGAAGGGCCAGGATCGTTCGACCGTTTAACCCGACCCAGACGCGGCTGGTGGAATTATATATATATATATATATATATATATATATATATATATATATATATATTCACATTTTTTACCCATCCCCCTCTCAAATTTTCACCAATTCACTCACAATGCTCTCTACTCTCTCAATTCTCAAATCTCACGTGTTTTCTATTTTCCGTTAAATTTGCAAGCATTCTCTACTCTCTTTCCGTTTTTCAATTTTCGTTTTTGTTTTCGTTACTCTAAAAAAAGTGTCTTCAAGTGGCAATCGTGGAACGGGAAAAGGAGTAACCCCTCCCGAATTGGAGTGGGATTGTTCCGATGATTGGCAACACCAATCAATTCCCGAACTCGAATTTCACACTATCGATTTTCGAGATGTACTTGTTAGTAGTGATGATGAGCCGACCGAGGTACCGCCTAGCTGACCGACCGGAGTGCCACCTAGGCCAAGGCGATCAAGGGCCTCTAGGCCATCTTCTATGCCTCTCAATCATCACTCGGTGGAGGGTCCCAAATGAATGATACGGAAACAAAATCCGAAATGTTCCGTGTCCATTTTACTAGAGCGGTTATGGGGGACGGGAGAATTCAAGCGTTTTGGAATTATTGCAAGGTACTTATCTAATTTTTGCAAGATATTTATTTTTTAATTATTTGTCTATTTACTTTAGCAAGTGTATTAATAGTTTTTTTTATTTAAATATACGGTGCACATAAATCATACACGTGGAAAAAGGGCGATGGGCATGGGAGCTTTTGTAAGCACTTGATTAGCAAACATCCGACGGAATTCGGTCGCGACCAAACTCAAACATAAATACGATTTAATTCTTCACAGGAAGGTACCGATTCTCAACTTTTTAAATTTTCAAAAACTGTAAAAAGAGAAGAATAGGCTAGAGTTATTTCAGTTGCATCACTTTAATTTAGATTTGCTGATAATGATTGTCTTATAGATCGTTTTAAAAAAATGTATGGGCCTAGTTGTTCTCGTCAACCAAAAACTACATCTAATCGAACTACAAAAAAATTGGTTTCTCGACTTAAGCATGAATTAGTACAGGAATTTCTTATGCTAGACAACAAACTTTCTATTTATTCTGATATTTGGAGTGATCATTGGGGTCGTAATGACTATATGGGTGTAACATGTCATTGGATTAATTGTGCCTGGAAACTTACAAAATTGGTTTTCCTGTTATGAATATTGGTCATACTGCATCTGAAATTGCACAATCACTTCGATATGTGTTAGATTCATATTTATTAACTGAAAAAATAATTTCAATTTCATTCGATAACGCAAGTGCCAATACAACTTCTATCCATGATCTTGTAGTTGTATGTAAGCCACCATGTGGGGGAAATTTTTTTCATATTAGGTACACATGTCATATTTTGAATTTATGTGTGCAAGATGGTTTACGAATGTTAGCAATGCATATTACTAAAATTAGAGCATGTATTAAATACATATGGCGACACACGTCGGTTACTAGACAATGTTGGGAGTTTTGTCAAACCCACCACATGCATCAAGTTAGAATTAACCGAGATACTCCAACTCGTTGGAACTCGATATATAGACTTTTAAAACAAACTTTTGCATATAAAGAATTAATATGTCAATTTTTTTCAAACGGAATTTCCTCTGGCTGGAATTTATATTTTACCCTCTGAATGGGATACATGCTTGAAAATTTGTAATGTTTCAAGCATTTTCCCAAAAGTTCTGATTTATTATCTGGTACTTATTATCCTACTGCTCATTTAGTTGTTTATTAGTTATGCAATATTGCCGGTGTTATTAACGAAGCTATGCGAATTGAAATTTTAGTTCCGTGTCCGAATGAAATTAAGAAAAAATTCTGCAAATATTATATGAATATTCCTGAACTATATTTGGTTGCTACAATTTTAGATCCTAGAGTTAGGCTTCATCTATTATCTGATATGCTACAAATATATTACGAGAATTTGTGTAAGAATATATCATTGATTGATTGCCCTCCACTTCCTAACGTACCTACTCTTGTTAGCACTTCGACAACATTATTAAATGAACTTTTATGATGAATATGCTACTATATCTAGAACATATGTTCCAAATAACGATCCTCCTTCAACATCGGATACATCTACTATGTTGGCGGTCCAACGTTTATTGCATTAGCGCTTCAAGAGCCCAAGGTTCTCATCCTCAAGTTCCGATCAACGATTGGAACTTAAGAGTTATTTAACCGTTAGATTTGATTCCACGTAAAGTACAGATTTTGACATACTAGCGTGGTGGAAGTCAAAGAGTTCATCATTTCCAATTTGGCACATATTGCCAAGGATATTCTCGCTTGTCCCGTCTCCACTGTTGCGGTCGAATCCGCCTTTAGTGTAGCCAGTAGAGTATTGGATCAAACAAGAAGCAATCTCGGTGCCGACAATTTCGAAAATCAAATGCTTTTGCGAGATTTGATGAAAACCGACTACAAACACAAAGATGACCACATCTACAAAGACGACGACGATGATGATAAATATGTTCCTACATAAGGTGAGAATACAACTTCACCCGGCGGCAACGACGACTAAAAAGGTAAGTGAAGGTAAGAGAACTACGTGGACTTTGATTCCGTACCGGATACATAGGCAACTTAGTTTTAAATTTAAAATTTTATAATTTTGAATTGAAAACTAAGCTCAAGTCCTTTAAATTTAGCTTCTTTTTTTTTCTTTTTTCTTTTTTTGATATATGTGAAAATAAAAAAAAACATAATTTTAAAAACAAAATTCAAAAATCGGCTTTGGACCCGGACCCGACCCGTACTTGGCCCGAACCTGGAAGTACCCGAGTGGATCCGTCTCCACATGGGTCGGTTTTGGGTCCCGAAAAAGTAGGACCCGGACCCGGACCGCCCCGTGGCCGTGTCTAGTACCACTTAAATAGAGGTTTCCGAAAATAGAAATATAAAATAAGCAATATGTTACTTGAATTGAGGAGAAAAACATGATATCACGAAAAAATAATTGTTACAATTTTCGGAGTTACCATTTGAGAGATATTATGAATCTAACAAAGAGTTTTAAAAAGATTCTTAATTAGATGGGTCTCTCATTTTTAGATAAGTATTGAGGTATTTGATTTTAATTGGTGATTAAAATTAAACTTGAACTAAGATTAATAAATCCTTATAAATAGAAGTGTTGGGTAGAGAAAATGACAAAGACCACAATTCTACAAAATAATGAAGTAAGAAATCTTTTTCTTCTTCTCTTTTTCTTCTTCGTCCAAACTATTTTTGACAGAAACCATGATTTTATGCCAAACATGTCTTTGACCTATCTGTCCAATAGTTTTCTAGTGCAAGCTATTGGTGGATTAATCTCTTCAAGGTGAAATCCGATTCCGGGGAAAAAGATTGGCATTCTTCGAGATGAAATTCGATTCCGGCGAAGAAGATTGGCGTGGAATAGCTCAACTTAGGACTTCGGTATGACCACAGAGACAGCGTTCCGAGGAGCTTACATTCAACGGGTATGTAATTGAATCTCGTTAATTAATTAGATTAATCATAATTGTTTGATTACATGTCTATGATTCGCATTCTATGTTTTATTTGATATTATTTAAATACATGATCAAAAGTATGCTAATAGATTATGCCTAATTGATGAATTTATTGTTCATAGAAATCGCATGATAGAAAAAATTTAAACTTTCGTTGCGTATGCATGTAGATCCCCAACATAACGAGTAAAGAACTTAAGAGAAGAGAGCTTTGAAAGAAAACACATCTATTGCTTGAGTGTTGACAAATGCTTGGATTTCTTGGATGCTTGCAAATGAAGTCCCCACTCCTATTTATACTAGGGGAGATCTGTCTGATCTAATGGCTAGGAGTTGTTCACTAGAACATTCCAATGAATTCCTACAAAATATCTACAAATGGAGGGTTTTAGAAAACTTTCTAGAGTCCTCTAAGAATCTCTACAAAGTATATCTACATTTTGGGCAAACTTGGGCCTAATTTACTATTTGAGCTAAGTCTTGGACTCTTTAACCTCCCTAATCCAAGAGAAACTGGAAAAGGGTTGTGCCAAAACTGACCGGACGTAACATCCTCCCCCGCCTAACCCGACGACGTCCTCGTTGCCTCGAACAAGTGGAAATGATCCTGAAATTGCCACAAATCTTCCTTAGTCTCTCACGTTGACTCGGACTCGGGTACTCCTTTCCATTTGATGAGGTATTGGGTCCTTGGTGGAACACCCCTACGTCGCTTCACTTGCTTATCGAGCACTTCTTCGATCTCCTCTTCAAATGACTTGGTCATGATGGGTAATGCTCGGAGTGACCCTCCTTGGCTTGAGTCTTCCTTGTCTTCGCAATGAGGTTTGAACATTCTCACATGGAAGACCGGGTGAATTTTCAAAGAACTTGGAAGTTCTAGGCAATAAGATACTTTACCGACTTTGGCGATCATCGGGAATGGCCCTTCATACTTCCACACATGGCCATTGTGCATACTCAGAAATGCCTTGAACTGTTGGGGCAAGAGTTTCACCATGGCTTGTTCTCCAACGTCGAATTCCCTTAGTCCTCGTTTTTCGTCCACCCGTTTCTTCATACGCCGCCTAGCTTTCTCAAGACACGCTCGGGCTAAGTCGGCTTTCTCCTCCCATGACTTAGCCATCTTCAATGCCCCGGGACTCCTCCCATCGGTTGTCGTAACCAAAGTGTGTGGCGTAAGTAGGGGTGGAAATCGGACGGATCGGATCGGATATGGCCCTTTCGGAAAATTTCCGATTTTTTTCGGAATTGAAATACGGGTTCCGATTCCGATTCCGATTTTTTCGGAATTGAAGATTTGATTCCGATTCCGAATTTTTCGGAAATTTCGGAATATCGGAATTTTTCGGAAATTTTGCAGATATTCTTCCAACATTCAAGAAGTTTTCGATTCAATCTGTAAAATCAAAACAAATATACAAAAAATAGCTAAAATGGTTTTATAATCAAAAGTTTCAAAAATGAAAGTGCAAAAAGTTGTAAACCAAATGTGTAACAAAAAGCAAACAAAGAAAATAAAAAATTTTTTTAGAAAAAAGACCTAGAAACGAGAACAAAATGAGTCAAATATAACCTCTTAATTCACCATCCTTTCTTCCGTGGACACCACCTTAACCAGCGGGTCTCTGTATTTTAAGAAGAGACGAAGATTGGAGCAAACATTGAAGATTTAATTTTGAAGAAAGGAGTGAAGAAAGAGGGAGAAAGTAAAGAAAGATAGGGAAGACGGCGGCGGAAGAAAAAGAAAGTGGGAAAGGAAAAGCAGATTTTAGGGTTTTTTCAATAATGCAATTAAAACTAAAAAAAAAAGGGAAAAAAAAAAGGTAAAGGTAGTGACTCACACCTACCGTTTAATGTATATATAAAATAATTAATAATATTAATAATATTCGGAAAAAATCGGAAATAATCGGAAAAAAATCGGAAAAAATCGGAACTATTTTCGGATCGGAATTCGGAAATTCCGAAAATTTTATATGTATTTCCGATTCCGATCCGATTTTTTTCGGAATTTTCGGAAATCGGAATTTCGGAATTCGGAATTGAAAAAATCGTTCCAAAATCGGAATTTTTCGGATCGGATTCGGCGGAAATTGGAATTTTCGTTCCGATTTCCACCCCTAGGCGTAAGTGGTTGTTGCCCCGTTGCAAGCTGGAACGGACTCCGTCCCACGACCACTCCGCTGCAAGTTATATGAAAACTGAGCCACGTCAAGGAGTTTTACCCAATCTTTTTTATTGGCTCCCATAAAATGTCGTAAGCAACACTCGATATGTTTATCTTTTGTTTAGATATAATTATATTTGTGTTTTAATTGATTGATTTTGTGTTTTATAGGTGAAAAACAAGAATTGTGTGTCCATGAAAGAAAAATGATCAGAAAGAAAGGAAAAAAATGCAAATAAGGAAATAAATCAAATTGGAAAAGGGAATCTCGAAACAGTTTTGGCAATGATCACCATTTTGAGCATATCTCTATCGTATGAACTCCAAATCACCTGATTCTAGCGGCATTGGAAAGCTAACTTAAAGGCTACAATTCTTATTTCACGTAACATTCCAAAAGGTTGGACTCCAGCATGGTCATAATCGGAATCTAAATGACCGAAGTGCAGACAAAAGTTTCGAACGGTCGTGCCAATTTTGTACAAAAATCTGGGACGGTCATCCCATGGTGCAAAGTTGGACAGTAAACTACGCAAATTGATAAAGCCGTCCCAAAATTGCCCGAAATCTCAGACGGCCCTGTCTGAGACCCCGATTCTGCACAGTTTAGAAGTTTTAATTGCACAAGGAAGCTCTTCCCTTTTGATCAAGTCTTAACCACAATATACACAAAATTTAATGGGATCCAACCAAAAAGTTTACACCACAAAATGCGAAGAATGAAGATCGAAGACTCAAGCATAGTTTTTCTTAGTTCTTTTATTAATTCTATTTTGTTTATCATAAGAATTCCGAGTAGCTAAACTTTTAGTTTCTAGGATTTTATTCGAACCGTATGTGGGATTTGTGAACCCAATTCTATGATTTTAGGAAAGTATTAATTTGGGATTATTTATCCTACTTGATTTATTAAGTTCATGAACTTGATCAATTTATGTGTTTTATTGTCATTGTTGAATGAATGAATTGGAATATCGGTTTAACAATTAAAATTGTGGTAGAAGAGCTTTTGTTGTATTATCATAAGAATATAGATAACCTCTTAGGTAGCCATTGTTGAGATTTGTGCTTAATGCTTTGTTATTTATTGAATTGCTTACAAAAACAGTAATTTGGTCTTGAATAATAGAATCGTCATATACGCAAAAGCGGGTTATGATTAATTTAACATCTCAGGTTAGTATCCAAATTATGTACTTGCATAATTGAAGAAATTGGGGAATCAATAAGTACGTAAGGGGAAGATAAAGTCTTAGGGCTTTTTAATTTGATAAATCTTCGTGTTATTTGCTTAGTTGTTTTTGCTTGCCTTTTATTTTCTTTTTATTAATTTAGTTTAATTTAGTTAATCAAATCAACTTTCGTCTGTGTAGGGTGGATTTGAACATAATTGGGATAATGTAGCGCTCAGAATTAGATATTTGAATATTCCTTGTGGCATCGATACTCGGACTTCTAATCCACTTTATTACTTGTACGAGAGATTTAAGTCTTTTTCTTCAGCTTATTTTAACTTGTGTTCTAAAAATCGATCGAGGCGTCGATTAATCGATCTCCGAGACGGAGGAGGTCTAAAACCTTTACAATTTTAGTGTAAATGTTTGAAAATTCATTTTTTTTCCTGTGAGTTAGTTTTAGATTGTTCGAGATGACCGTTTTTTAATAAAGAAAAAGTTGGCTTTAATGGAAATGAGCTTTTTCTTTGTTTTATTTTGTTAATGTTTATTTTGATTTTTAAAGTACCTGATAATATATTCTTGCAATCTTCAAGCATAATTTTGGATGCACAAGATTTTTATTTTATTTTTATTTTATAAGGATTTTTATTATATTATGATCTTATTATTATTAAAAATTTATTATATGATTATGATATATAAATGAAGCGTATATTATATTCTATGCTATAGTCATAGAAACAAAATAAAAATGCATACAAAACAAAATGGGGGCATACCAGTTTTCAGCTCGGACCCTCTTTCCACGCCCCTTTGGTCCACCGTTGCGGCTCACCACAATGTCGACCACACTCATGTGCATTATCAAATGCAATGTAACCATATTCACCATGTCTTCATCACAACTCAGTGTGACAAACATTCTTCACGAGGAGCCAAGTATTGGAGCACCAATATGTCAAGATGGATATCGTCCCACTTATTTATGACAGACTCATAGGTCTCCCTTAAAGTCGAATCATTCTTAACGGAAATGATGTGAAGCTTATCTTGGTACCGACAACTTCCAAGAATACCAGTGCGGAGGGGGTTTGATTCACCATTTGCTGCCATTGTGGGAAATTTCAAAATAAAAATTCGCGGTCGGGGAAGATGAAGTAGTAACAGAGAATATGATGAAAGAGAGATGATAGATAAATAGAAGAGAAGAAAGGGAAGAAAGATGAGAGAGCAGAGCGGAGAGAGGGTGTAAAAATTGAAATAAAGTGGGGCTAGGGAATAAACTGCTTGTTTATGTTTGCAGTAGGGACTGGCCTGCTTGTGAAACGTGGCTGGGGCTGACTCGCGTTTTATGTTTACACTTGGGGATTTACGATACAAACTCTTTTTAAATATTATTTGTCAATACTCAAAACATATCTGAAAATACTTTTAAACAAAATTTATACCACTACACCAAAAACGCCATTTACTAACAGATATATCCATTACAAATATTTTTTCTAACGGGGTAAAACCGTTAGAAATAGTGCGTGAGAAATTTAATGGTCTATATTTCCAACGGATATAAACCGTTAGAATGATTAACAAACCGTTACAAAAATAAATATTTCTAACAGTTCTTATCCGTTAGAAACATCTTTGTAACGGTTTGTGTTTTAACACTTACTTCTAAATTCCTAACGGATATGGCCGTTAGAAAAATTAAGAGAAAGAAAACAAAAAAAAAAGTTTAAATAAAATAAATAATATTATATATATATATATATATATATATATATATATATATATATATATATTGCTCTGAATTTTGAATAATTTGCAATTTATAAAACATAAGGTCTCTATAATTACATAAAAAAATGAATTTGATGTGTAAAAAAATCCATGTATACAATCCACCATTACATTTTACTATCCATAAATCAATACAATAACCATAAGTCCTTAAGACTCATGCTACTCTATACTAAACAGAGAACTTAAACACATATTCATACTAACCAACTACAAGAAAAATAACATATCCCTTGAAACTGGTATCATAGAATTCCTACCTATCAAACTGTTAATAACACCAACTCGACCCATAACCCATACCGGGGTCTTCCCCCAGTTCCGATATTCAGAGCATTTTGGCCTGAATCCATAAACAAGAGAAAGTTATGTGAGATAAAAATGCAATTACCTGATATTTTCTTATCGCGTTGAACAAAATGACATGAAATCATGTGGATATAAACCATGGACAAAGAACAAAGAACTATAGATCTTATAACTCTTTTTGTTCATTTAGCATACCAGATGTAATACGACAAAAATCGTCAAAAATAATGAAAAATGTTAGTACAAAAATATTACGCAGACATGATAAAACGCATTGTTTCCACATTATATATACAACAAAAAATGCAAGATTATTACCTGTATGTCGTCCTACCTGTGGCACCAGGAAATATAAGTTAGTAAAACTCAATATTAATAATACATGGTACTATTCCATAGTAATAATACATGATACTGCAACACTACCAAACTTGATCAATAGGTGATGGCGGTCTAAGAATTGGACATGGTGCCAAATAATCAACAAGTTATCAAAAGGCTATAGATGTCAATTAGAATTTCAATAATATGTACTTGAGATTCCTACCTTCCATATAACCAAATCAGCATAGTCTTGGAAATGGAAATAAAACTTCTTCTTCAGGCATTGCATTCTTAGACAAACAAACAAATACATTACACATAAGCTGATAGGTAATGCTACGTCAAAAAAATTGTTTTCTTGAGAATTAAAAGCAGAAAATATCAAGACATTATAATAAAAACTCATACAATAAGTCCAGCAGATTTTAATACAGGACATAAAAAAAATGAGTTCAAAAATCTTTATGATTTTCATCACTACTTATACGACTCACCAATGTTGGGTCATTTTCTTCATTCCGTATGAATGAGAGAATATGTTAGATATGATCCGAGTCATTCACTACTTTAGCCGTTCTACTTTTGCCCGAGTTGACATACACTGAAATTTAACAATAAAACTGCCCATCAAAACCAACACAGATAACTAAGTTATCATTAAGAAACTGTAAAATGAAATAAAATTATAAGTTGTACTTTTGCCCAAGTTGAAATAGACTACAATTTAACACAAAAAATGCCCATCAAAATAATACAGATAACCAAGTTCACAACAAGAAACTATAAAATGAAATAAAAATCTAAAAAGGAATAAAAAATAGATCATTATTCATTAAGCTCATCGCTTCCTTATGGTGTCAATTTAAGAGCGTGTAACTATACCAGTTGCCTGATCACTTGAATCGGGGAAAAGCTCATCATCTTCACGGCAATATTGTCCAACCGACCGCACATCAACAAGATCGCTAGAGTCGAATATGAAGAATCTGGATTCTCTGATTTGCTGATTTCGTCAAATCAAAATCGAAAAAGTTTAGAACTTATCACAAAAAAAAAACGATCTGAAAACGCTTCCAATTTGAAGAATATGCGACTAAAAATTAAAAATTACTATAAATCAACGAACAACTTTTGCTGAAGCATCCTGCATCCAATATTGTTGTTCGCCGTCGAATTTTGAATTGAAAAGGTGTATTGTGGGTGGTGGTGCAAGAGAACTGATAACCCTAGACGTTCTATCTCACCCCATCGGTTTTCTTTTCCTTCAGCAGACTAAAGGATAGAGAATGGGTTGGTTTTTAATAAATATGGAAATTCCTTAATTTTAATTTTAATGTAAATATTATATAATATATTATAGATTTAGTTCATGTATTACTAACACATACCAACCGTTAGGAATAACTTTTCAATTGTTACTAATTTAATACAAATAAATTATTATTAATACTAATAGATAAGTAAATTTTCTAACGGATATAGCCGTTAGCAATTTCTAACGGTATATATCCGTTAGAAGTCACAAACTTATGCCGTTAGAAAAACCTCATTTTGGTGTAGTGAATAC